GACAAGCGACTCTAAAAGGACAGTTAGACTCCATTGAAAAGCTTTTGCGCGCCCGTCGCCAGTCCTAGGCGGGCTGGTCACCCCCACCTATTCCAGGGAAGTTTCTTTTCTCCTTTCCTTTATTTCATCTTTGTTCTTGCAATAGGGACATTGCCTCAATTAGGTGTGGGGGAGATTAGAACTTTTGATGCTCTATAATGCTTTATTTTGATATACTTCCCTGCATGTCCGCTTGTGTATGTCGAGCTGAGATTGTAGTGCTTTACTTAGTTTATTAGGATCTTGCCATGTTTGTTGATGAAGTTAGATGACGAGTGTGCTTAGCCTTCTAACAAGGAACCCTTAAGTGAGTTATTTGAGCCTTATTTGAGCAAATTCACTCATACATATCATATATGCTCAATTTTTTTGGATTGTGTGAACATATGTTGCATTTGACTACCTAGAACTTGCTTGCTTATGCTTATTTACTCCGCGTTTATTGAGAATTGATGGGATTAAAATGATAAGGCACTAGGTTTACCCTTGTTGGCCTTAATTTCATACATTCACCCCTATTATCCCCTAGTGAACCAAAGTTTGAGCTTAATGTTATTATCCTATTTTTCTTGGTTCATATTTAACCCATGCCGATATGCCTTTTTCTTGGAATAAGCCGAACATTTACTTGAGCCTATGGGAATTCGAGGGATTGTTCTTTGATTCATTACATTATATTATTTAGAGTTGCATTGGTTCCGTTGCATATCATCAGTATATTATTCGATAGTTGCATTTGAAAGTTCTCATATATGTGGCACAATTATAAATTCATATATATTTTTGCCAAAAGTATTTCATTGACCAACCTCCTTAAAAAAAAAAAAGAGCTTGTGTGAAAAAAAAAAGAAGAGAAAAAAATATTCCGAGTCCTAAAAAAAAAAAGGGACTCGTGAAAAGAAAAGTGAGTATGATGTTGTCTTGCATTGATCAAATCTTGGGAAGTATTGTGTTGTTCTTGTTATGTTGTTCTTATTCATACGTGTTTGGGACTTGCGTTCATTTTGATGTGATGAATTGATAGATTAATTCCTCGGTCCCATTAGCCACTAATATCCCTTTTCCTACCCGAACCAAAGCCCCATTACAACCCTTTTATTAAGACCTTTGATTATGAACATTGATTTCTTGATGAATTGTGAAGTTGATTTGATTTGCTTGCAAGCCTATGGGGTTCGTCATTTCCTTCATGTGCATTGAGTGAATATAGCCTAAACACTTGAGGGTGAGAGCTTTTACTTATATACATTCCTCATTTAGTGAAGTTAGTTGGTTCTTGCATGCTTTGAATCCGACGTAGTTGGCGGCATAGTTGAGTGACTTTTGCGCTAGTGAGTATTTCAATTCTTGGTTAGGATATATGCTTGAGGACAAGCATGGGATAGGTGTGGGGGAGTTGATATATGCGATATTAGACAAATATTTTGCTATATTTTAGACGATTTTTTTATGCGAATTTTGTATATATGCTCCTAATGGTGTGTTTTTGAACTTTCTACTAGGCGTTGAGGAGTTGGCAAATTTTGGGCATATTGGAGAGAAAAGCAGAACGCAGGAAGTCCTTACGCGTGATCACGAAGCAGAAAAAAATAAAAATTGCAAAAAGGTCCTCCGGGGTTAATTAGCAATTTTAGAATTGTTTGATTTAAAGTGCAAAGGGGATCTTAGGATGGACTTGAAGAGACACAATTTTTTTTTTTTTAATTTAAGAGGAGAAGAGAAGGGGACTACCACGTTCTCTACCACGATCTCACCTACAACCTATTTTCTGAGAGAAAAGAGAAGCGAAGAAAGAACACTACGTACGGGAACTTTGGAGAGCAGCGCAGAAGAACTTCTGGGCACCCTTTTTCTTCATTTCTAGAATTGGTTTGTTATCGATTTTTAAACTTGAAGGTATGATGAACTCTTTGATTTATTTTATATTTTTAATTGCTATGGATTGCGAATAGTTTCATTTCTAGTGTAAGTATGAATTGATTTTCGGGATTGAAATTGTGAGACTTGGTTTCGATTAAAATTGGTGTTCATCGATGTTGGGTATTTTTAATTCTTCTAATTGATGAGTTTAGAAATCCTGAATTGATTATTGCGCACGTATCAATTTAGTATTTCATAGCTATATTGGGGATTGGCATACAAAATTGTGTAATTTTCCAATTAGCGTAGCAACCTAGAGAAGAACACTCTAGGGAAGAATTAAAATCAGTTTTTAAACAAATCCTCGTAGGAGCTTGTTAAATGGAATTGGGCCTTTCTAGTTTTTACTGCTGTCGAGTTAGAAAACTACGGTCGTACCTAAGATTCTTTCCCGATTAGAGAAATAGCTAACAATCGTACCTTAACTATCGAAAAAGTAAGGAAAGGTTGGTTGTGAACGCGTGTAGATCAACTTTAACCAATTTATCCAACTAGTCGATGAATTTGACTTTTAGTCGATGATCAAATTTCATATCCCGAATGAAAAATTCATGCCTATGCTAAAGTCTAATCATCTTTGGTAATCTGCCGTGCATTTTATTTTATTTTATTTAGTTGAGCGAATTTATTTTCTCTTATTTTAGTGTGATAAATTCAACCCCCCATTATATATATAGTATAATTTTAGATAACCGAATATTCAATATTATTATTGTTCCCTGCGGAGACGACCCTACTCACCGAACTACTGCATTTTGCAAGTTTTTTGTTGTGTAGGAACTGATACTTTATTTTGCAGTTTTGACGAGGCTAGCAGAAATCGATTTCGGGCAAGCCCCTTATTAAGAGGATCGATGGGGACCTATTGATCAAATAGGTTGTCGTGACCACGGCTTCTCCCTAAAATCGTTTAGACAACCCGGAGAAAGCAAGCATACTTCTAACCCTTTGTAATAGAGTTTGGTTTATCCATTCAACAATCTCATTATTTTGGGGTGTATAGGGAACGGTTCTATGACACTTTATTCCATTTTTTATACAAAAGTTGTCAAACCAACAATTTGCAAAATTCCAAACTATTGTCGGTTCTCAAATATCTAACCTTTTTGCCCGTTTGATTTTTAATAAAAATTTTCCAATTTTAAAATTCTTCAAAAACATCGGATTTTTGTTTCATCAAGAAAAACTCACACTTTTCTAGAAAAATTATCAATTATAGAAAGAAAGTATCTACCTTCACCATGTGTGAGTTCACTAGAGGGACCTCACACATCGGGATGTAAATTCTCTAAAATACCTTTTGAATATATTTGGTTTTTTTAAAATTGCACCTTGTGATATTTACCATACACACAATTATCACAAAATGGAATAGTTGACAGTTTTTTATTTCTAAAATAACCCGATTTATGCAATATTTCAAGACCCCCCTACTAAGGTGTTCTAGTCTCATATGCCAAAGTTTGGTATTACCAAAAGTTGAATTTACTATATTTTCAGATTTATTAATTGGAAAATCTGATGAAACATAGAGGTTATTTTCAACTTTGCTTTAAAAATAACTAGAGCACCTTTTGTAATTTTCATACAATTTGCCCCCCACTCCCCTTCTAAGGTCATAGAAGATAAACTGGCACATGATAACAAAGTATTAAACAAACTAGGAACATGCCTAATATTAAAAAGTTTAAGAACATAACCGAAATTCAATTTCAATATAATGGTTCCTATTCCTTCAATATTGCACACACGTTCATCGGCCATAGATACAATATAAAATTTGATAATATTTTATATTACGAAAATATTTCTTTGAATGGTGTCATATGATACGGTTAAAGTCGTATTGCAATGCTAATTAGTAGGAGTGTTAACTGGATTGCTCACATTATTACTATTATTACTAGACCTAATGAAATGAGAAGGACGCCACAATTAAAACATTGTTTGATGTACTTAGAGGGGGGGTTGAAATCTATTCTTTGACTTACTTTTAGATTTCTTCTTATGTTGACTATTGTGAGTTATTTCCATTCTTATTGTTATTGGAATAAAATTCATTCTTGCTAGGTCTAAATGGAAGTCAACCCCTAACATGCATCATCTCTCCATGGCTTTATTTATTAGCTATATAAAGTTGTAAGTCTACTTCTTTACTCTTTAAGCCATTTATCGGAACGTTTAGTGTTATTGTGTCTCTCCCATACTTAATAGCCGATTTCACATCTAAGTAGGAACTAGGGATAGCATTTAATAGAACTATAGTCATCGATATTCTTATCACCAGTTAGTTTTATATCTTGTATAAGTTTGGTAAAAACATTAAGGTTTTCAACTATAGTTTTTGAAAGATCCAATCTAAAACTAAAAAAAACTTTCCTAACAAATGAATACGATTTGAAAAAGAAATTTCAGTGTACATTTGATTTAATCTATCCTATAACTCTTTAGCCGATTCATAAACTTCAATTTCCCTAATCACAAGAACCGCAAGATTTAAGATAATGCATGATAAAGCTAATTCATCCAATCCAACCCTCATTTGAGGAGTGATCTAAATTGTACGACTAACTTTATCAACTTTCATCAATCTTTGCGACACTAGGAAACTACGCATTTTTTATTTTCAAATAGTAAAATCTATTTTCTATCAAAAAAAAAAAGATTGAATATTGTAATATGTTGGACTTGCCATTTTTAACTAAATCTATTTTTTTAAAACAATTCTCCTAAGGGGCATATTTTAACCCTAAACCACCTTTAAAATAAAAAATTAGTTTCAGGCACACCAAACATATAGTTAACCTTTTGAAATACAGATTGCTTAACGATCACAATAGAAAAACAAGTGGAATGCAAGTATAAATTAATTTTCAAGAGCAATAGAATATTAACTAAACCACGAGTTAGTTTCTTAAGAAACTAACTTATCAGGTTGTTAATATTCCAACAAATTCTTAATAGATTCAGCAAAAATTCAATCAATAAACATAAAAAACCGCTGCACCGATTATAAAATTTAACCGAAAGTGAAATTTTACCAACTCCAAGCTCCGCAACATGTTTTATTAGGATTTCTTTCGGCGTCAACCTGTTACACCTCTTAAAACTGCGCACTTAATACGCGTGTTAGTATAGTTTGGATGACAATAGAGAACTATAAAAAACGTGAATAACCACACAAAAACAGGTTTTCACATTAATGATGTTTCAATCTTTAATCCATGATCAAGATAACCAAATTGAATCTAACTTGAAATTTATTTACAAAAACCTCTATTGATTTTACAAATAAAAGAACAAGTTGTTCAAACACCGAACATAAATCAATTTTTCGAAAAACAGAGAACAATAAAACAGTTTCAATTTTTCGAAAAACAGAGAATAAGAACCTGGTTTCAAGGTTTCGAAAAAACCGAGAACAAACCACCTATAAGGCTTTGGTATCACTTGTTATGCCTAAATAGAACTGAAAAGCTTGCTACTCACAAGAACTTTACAAAAACTAATGAAAACTTAAAGAAAATTTCATTAATTTTGGAAGCAACACGTTCTGACTCTGGTTACCCTAGAAAATCAACGAATCACCGACAACACACAACTAAGACCCAACCACAATAGAAACGCCTTGAAAACGCAACAATCACGCTAAATCTAAACCCAATCTAAGAAAACATCATCGATTTTAAGTCTATCTACAAAGTGTACAGAAATACACTATATATACAAGAAATGGCAAAAATCGAACTAACAAACTGATGAACCACTGCGGAGAAAGTCGAACATCAAAGGAGAAAGGTGAGCCTTCTTTCTTATAAGACAAATTCACCGGAAAAGACAAGTGCAATCGATCGGAATAGCGACAGAGAGAATGAGATTTTAGAGAGAGAAAAAGTATATATCGAATAACTTGAACTCTTCCAACGGTGGTTAAACGGGTAAGCAAATACAAGACTCAGGTGAAAACTCTTGATTAGACGGCTAGTAATGAATCTCATAAAGATCGAGTTGAATCGTGAGTTATGGACCCGGACTTCAATTTGGACCGGATCATGACTATGTCTATTAGGCCTCATTAAATTGACCCAAAAATTCATCACATGAACTAAAGTTCAATAAGATCTGATTCCATATAGAATCGAATTCAATTCCCCTCAATCGTAACATTATTCCAAAGTTACTTACTATATGCACTTATGTAGTGATCATTGATTTCGTGAGTGTGGTTAGATATATTTTTAAATTATTTAATATTTTGAATTGTTTACAAAATAGTAAAAAAAATTCCATCAATAAGTAGACAAGAGCCTCACATATTTTGACACAATTGGTTGGATTTATTAACCATCGAAGTATCGGACGGTAGTGATCGCATATGGCCTCTAATCCAAGGGCCATGGATGAATCAATTCAATTAGATTTGGTTCACATAAAAATTTCACATGAATCGTGCCCAAAGTTGATGATATGTGCCCAACCTTTTTGTGAATAGAAAACACCCCAACTTTATTTATTAATTTATTTTTAAATTTCTAATCAGAACCCTTTTTATATTAAAAATAAAACTTGCATAAGTTCATGTTTTTAGAAGTTTCGCTTGACACAATAAAATATATAACAATTAATTAACTATAGTGATTGTAAATAATTTATTTATTTTTTTTTTTAAAAAAATCATTACCATTTTAAAATAAAAAAGTATTTATAAACTTATTTAGCCATTATTTCTTATTATTTAACTTTCCCTTTTTTAAATTATATATACACAATATTATTTTTTCTTATAACATTATATTAAACTACTGTATAAATAAATGAGGGTGGATAGCATGCTCAATTATCGGGTGTATTATCTTTTGATTTGATTTGAAAAAGAATTTGTTTGAATTTGATATTAAAATAATATATGATAACTATTTTGTAAAAGAAAAATTTATTTTTTGAAAAAAAAAAAAAGAAAAAATAGAATCCAAATATAGAATTTTTGGGTTTGAGATCTAAAGAAAGACACCCTAAACTAAATATGTAATAGATGTGTTTGGTTTTAATTTATACCGCTATTCCATAAAAATATATTCTCTTATATTTTTCATTTTAGTCTATCATTGAAATATTTTTATTTTTAAATATAGTTAATATATAAAATTAATTTAATTAAATATTTAATTATTCAGAATTCATTTATTTATTTTCCTATTCAATAAACAAATATTTTATCTATATTTAAAAATTTCACTTTTTATAAATTAATATTATGTTAATCATAAATAACTATATTTTTTATTATTTGCATTATATTAAATTTTATTTTTTATGAAATAAAATTTATATTATATATATAATATTTAAATACATAATTTAATTTTTTTTCTTAATTATATAGCATATTTTAGCCAATCAATTTTGTAAATTTACAAAAACAAAACGACAATTTCACAAAAAAAAATGGGGTTAAAATTGATGGATGGAGGAGTAATGTTTTTCTTTAAAAAAAAATATCAATAATATCATTCCTATATATATATAAAATAATAGCACTCTATCCATTGTAATTGAAAGAGATTTTAGAGTTTGGTAATAAATTAATAAATAATACTATTATTTTCTGTAAGAACAGTATTATGAGTTTTTTATATGTTGATATTTCAATATTAATTATTATGTTAATACGTAGTATAAATAAAAAAATATAAAAATATATCTATTAGCCTCATATAATATAAATATAATAATATTTGTGAAATAAATTATAAAAATATAAATATATTTTTAATATTAAACACAACTATGCAAAATGTAACTGGTATCTTTCTTATGAGACAGATTTAGTATATTTTATTAGTTAGTGGAGATATGCAGTACTATGAGCTTTTTGTATATGTTAATCTTTCAATATTAATTATTATATTAATACGCAGCATAAATAAAAAAAATAAAATATATTTGTTAGTCTCATATAATAAAAATACAATAATATTTTGTAGAATAAATTATACAAACATAAATATATTTTTAATATTAAACACAATTACGCAAAATGTAACTGATATCTTTCTTATGAAATGGACTTAATAGTATTTGATTGGTCGGTGGAAATATGTAAAAATATTTGACAGTGTATAAAGTAATTGTATATTTAATTATATATTTGTAATTAAATAAAAATTAAAAAATATTTTTGTATTATTATATAATTATTATTTTTTAAATAGTAAATAAATATTACAAAAATTTATTATGAAGGGATACTGAGAGAGAACGACGTACTTATCATTAAATTATTATTATTATTTTAAATACCAAACACTGAACTATTTAAATTAAAATTTAAATAAAAAATTTATATTAGCTAGAATCAAACATACTTATTGGATTTGTGTTTTCAACAAATTTTTTCTCTAACACATTTTTAATATATATAATACGTATATATTATCATCTTAAAAAAAAAATCAATATTTAACATGAAAAATACTTTTTATATTAATTAAATAATTTCATATAGTAAATAAAATATATATATTTAAATCCAAAATACTAAATAAATAAATTTTTAAATTTCAAATTTTCGAATTTATCGTTTTCTCATTTATATTTTTTTATTTAGTTTTATTTATGTCTCCAAATATTGGCTTAACAACTAATTTCATTAAAAAAAATATAAATATAAAATAACAAACAAATACAGTCTAGACTCTCCATCTTCCCTTTTGCGCTGGATTCCCTTTCTCCCAAAAATTAGGGTTTCCAATTTTTTTTGCCTGAAAGCTATAACAATAGTTCTCCACATTCCCTCTCTGGGAAGATTCTCCATGCAAATGTCTCCCTCCGAACCCGCCATTGCACGACCAATCAATCGAATGGCGATCTTCGGCTGCATGTCATGACCCAGGTTTGGTACGGATTTTTCTGTATTTTGATTGATGGATCAGAGCATCACGTCTTCTTTTTGTGAGTTAGGGTCCATGGAATTCTAAATATTTATCTGAGTGTAGCATTTTTTAGGGTTTGGGTGATTTGGTTGCGGTAGAAATGATTAAGCAAATATTCAGTAAGCTCCCGCGGAAGCCACCGTCGAAATTGTCACAGGGCGATTCTAACAGCAATGATATCTCAAATTTCGCAAATTCGAATTTTTACGGAGCCTATGGTCCTCCTGCCAAAGAGGGACCTTCCTCAATGCCGCCGGCGAACTACGAGGCTGCTTGCGAGGCGCTCCCGAATCTCCAGGACGTTCCGAGCTCGGAAAGGCAATCACTTTTGATCAGGAAGTTGAATATGTGCTCTTTTGTGTTTGATTTCGCCGAGCCGACCTCGAATTTGAACGAGAAAGATGTCAAGAGAAGGATGTTGCTCGAATTGGTGGATTACATAAATTCAGTGAACTCCAAGTTTACTGAAGTTGCAATGCATGAAATGATAAAAATGATCTCAGCTAATCTATTTCGATCCTTTCCTTCTGTTAATCACAATGGTGGTAAGAATTTGGGTGAGGTTTATGACCCAGAGGATGATGAGCCGATTTCGGAGCCCTCATGGCCGCATCTTCAGGTTGTGTACGAGTTTTTATTGAGGTTTGTATCTTCTTCTGAGATGGATGCGAAGCTTGCGAAGAGATATGTAGATCATTCTTTTGTCCTGAGATTGCTAGACCTTTTCGACTCTGATGACCAAAGGGAGAGGGAGTACTTGAAGACGATTCTTCATCGTATATATGGGAAGTTTATGGTACATCGGCCATTTATTAGGAAGGCAATCAATAACATATTCTATCGCTTCATTTTCGAGACCGAGAAGCATAATGGGATTGCTGAGTTGTTGGAAATATTGGGTAGTATAATCAACGGCTTTGCTTTACCTCTGAAGGAGGAGCATAAGCTCTTTCTTGTGCGTGCTCTGATTCCGCTGCACAAACCGAAACGAATGTCTGCATACCATCAGCAGCTTTCGTATTGTATAACGCAGTTTGTAGAGAAAGATTTCAAGTTAGCTGATATGGTAATTCACGGCCTTTTGAAATACTGGCCAATAACTAATAGCTCCAAGGAGGTCATGTTTCTTAGTGAGTTGGAAGAAGTCCTCGAAATGACTCAGGCCATGGAATTTCAACGCTCCATGGTTCCATTGTTTCGTCAAATTGGACGCTGTGTAAACAGTTTGCATTTTCAGGTATCGTTTTTGAACTCGATTATTATAAACTTTGAACTCTGTCCTTTAGAATGTATGATATATGTGTTTCAAGTAAGTGTTTTGGAGTTTTTGGTAGGTTTGGGAATAGTAAAAAGTTGAATAGAAAATAAATGTTTGATGTGACGAATAGGCGTTGGAGGTGGGGTTTTGAATACATATGAGGTTTCTAATGTAATAGTTTATATGAAAAATAGGTTTTGATGAGATATATTTTTAGAGATAAAAGTTTATCAATAGTGTGAAACCAAGTTTGAAAACATAAGTAAGCTGTGTTAAAGTTTAGTATGTGATTTGATACTTTGGCTTCATGCTTTGCTTTGTACTAAATTTTGCTCATGCTGCACATTGACTGCTCTGTTGATTTTAGAGAGTTAAAGGGTAATAAAGAAGCATCGTGGGGAGATGTGCATGAGGTTTATTATGGTGATGCGGATAATTAGATGAGCTTAGAATGGAATTTCAGGTCCATCATAGGATTGCTACTATGATGTGACATCTTGCGCAAAAATAGTGGTAACTTATGAAGGATGATAAGTTCTAACCCAATAGAATTTACAGCTGTTAAAAGTATTGAGATTAATACGATGCTTTAGATGGAAAGGGTTGCTAACTCAGTTTATTTCCGAATATAAGTATGAAGTTTTGGTTATTCATAGTTTGTTTTGCATTATTCATCTGATTGAAATTTAACTTCTTGATAGTATCAATCCAATCTCTCATCTCGAGCTATGTCCTTTATGTCAATATATGGAATTTTCCATATTTGTTATTGTTTTTATGATAACAGTAACTGTAATAACTTGCATCCTACTTTAGAGTTTGAAATGAGCAAGTATAAATTTATTTTGTTTATTAGTTTATTGTTGGAATTATGCCTTTTAGATCAATTTGGAAATATACTTCCATATCTAGTAGCTCTTATCCTAATAAAATGGCTCAATTGGTATAACCAATGTTTTTGCAGTTGCACCTTTAACTCTGTACATTTTAGTATAAATGAGAAAGTCACCTAGTGACTATTATTCAATAATTAAATTGGGATTGAACTGCTTCTGATGTGCTCTAAATTGACTTGAACCGTAATGGAATTAGTGTTGATGTTAAAGAAGATAAAACTTTTTCCTCGCATTGGTGCTTGTCACATAGGTAATGAATTTTGCAGCTTAGGAATGAAATATATTTACTAGGTGGTTGTTTATTAGTTTTAATTTGATAAAGGAATCTATTACTCGATTGTCCCTGTCAACACCAATCATTGTTATATAAATAGTACTTCTTCTGTCCAATTTCTATTGTCCTAAAGTATATTTGCACGGTTTTTTAGGTGATTGTCTTTTTGTTATGAATTGACAAATTTGCCCTTAATTGTATGGTAGAGATGAAAAATAATAAATGAATGAAGGGTAAAAATGTAAAATTTGTGTTTAAAAAAGGAAATAGGACAATAGTTGTTGGACGTCCAAAATAGGAAAGTAGGATATTAGTTTGTGGATGGAGGGAGTAGTATTTTAATGTAAACATGGGATAAATAAAAAGTAAAGTAGGAGTCTTATGCAAAATTTATTAAAAGAGTTCATAAAAACATAATGGGTAAGTAGAAAAAATAGTAGCGAATTGGTTATTATTTTTTTTGATTAGATGAAATTGTGATTAGATGAAATTTTGATTAGATGAAACTGTTTACATAGATTATGCATAAGTTTAGTAGACAGTCAATAAAGGAAAGCCAGCATGATTATCCCCGGTGAGAGGGAGTATATATTAGAATTGTATGTGTTGTGCTTAATTGCTATGAAACCCAAATCCAAGGTTAACTGCATGTTACGACTATTTGGTGCGGCATTTAGCGTATGTTCGAGGCGACAGTTGTGGATTTACTTTACCCCTTGTTTATACTGCGTTTGAGGTCAAATAATCAGGTTTCGAGTCAGGGGAATATGTATTTATACACACCCTGGGTAATAAAATAGCATAAATGTTTTAACCTATATTCTACAAATGTAAGTGTATGTAAAATATTAATTTATAAAATTCACTCCGATTATATAAGCAGCAGTTGCTCGCTCTGCCTAAAGAACTGTTAATAAAGAAAATGTCTAGTCATTTGGCTCCGGAAATCATATGCATAAACTAGCTGGTTTAATTCAGTGGTTTTCCAGCTTGTGTCAAGTTTGGGCTTAAAAGAAGTTGGATTGAGTCACCGGACCGGTGAATATTCATTGGTCAGGTCATAATTATATTGTCATTTCTCAGTTATTTATCGGTTTGTACACCTAACGCTAACTACTTTCTTACAGGTAGCGGAGCGTGCGCTCTTCCTGTGGAACAACGAGCACATAAGGAGTCTAATAATTCAGAACCACAAGGTGATCCTCCCCATAATCCTCCCATCGCTGGAGAAGAACCTTCAAGACCACTGGAACCCTGCTGTCCGGAGCCTAACCCTCAATGTGCAGAAGATCTTCTTAGAGGCTGACCCGCCATATTACAGTGAGTGCGAAACCAGATTCCAAGAAGATCAAAGCAGGCGAAAGGAATTTCTGGAAAGACGGCAGGTTGTCTGGAAGAGCTTGGAGGACGCGGCTGCTGCCAAATCGTTAAGCACTGAGGCTGTACTCATATCGATATTTCCTTCCTCGGTTGCCATTGCTACCAGTAGCAACTCCAGAGCAGTTCTGGGAAGCTGAAAATACATACACACATGCGCGCAAATGCCATGCCTTATGCCGTAAGTCGTGTCGATATATTGATTTTTTTACCCCATTCTTAGGCTTGCTGGTTCCCTCTCCCTCTTTTGGATATGTTGTCAGTTATTTTGTCTGTTTTTGCTGGGGGATTCATGTTTTAGTTGAAATTCATGGATCTGATGTGAAACGGATTTGTTGGTCGGGTCGTGTATGGCATTGTGCGAATGGTTAGATTAAGCTTAGTGGTGTGGAGCAATAGGGTGCGAGTTTTTTTTGCAAGCCAACACAACACATTGGTCATATTATGAAATGGTGGAATTATTTCGTATGGTTTGGTTGTAGCTTTAGTCAGCATTTTGCTGTTACTTTTTCTCCCCGCTGTATATCTATTTCTATTACTCCCCCTTAGGGATCGCATTTTAGTATAGTAGGAATATATTACCGGTACCATACCGAAATTTGATATACTGAAAACTCAATATTTTAACATTTTTTGGTATCAAATCGATATATGATAGCTATACCGAAACTTGTTTTAAAAAATTCAAAAAGGTTTTTCCCTGCTCAGCCAAAGAACAACGAAATAACGGCGAAATAACGGCGGTGGTGAGTAGGCGAAAGAGTTGAAGAAAGAAGAAGGAACAATGGAGAAGAAGAAGAACCGAAGGAGACGAAGAAGTTGAAGAAAGAAGAAGGAAGGATGGAGAATAAGAAGAACCAAAAGAGGCGAAGAAGTTGAAGAAAAAAAAGGAAGGATGGAGAAGAAGAATAATAACTAAAGAGTCGAAAAAGGCGAAGAAGTTGAAGAAAGAAAAGGAAGGATGGAGAAAAAGAATAATAACTAAAGAGTCGAAAAAGTTAGAAGAAAGAAGGAAGAAAGAAGATAGAGAAAGGAGAAGAATTTAGGTTTTTTGTGGCAGCTTGTATTTATGGAGTAGGTTAGGATTTTTTAATTTTGTTTTTATTTTAAAAAAATTAATTATTTTTTATATTAATAATTATATTATTTAATTAAAATATTATTAGTAGGATATAATACCAAAATATTGAACTTTTCGCAAATTCATACCTATACTGTACCAAAATTTACGGTATGATATTGATACTATACCGAAAGTTTCGGTGAACTGAATTTTTTAGTATTTTTAGTATGATTTGGTACCGTAATTCGGTATTTTTGGTAGATTTATCCATCCCTACTCATCTATCATGAAATTAGTCGTACTTCTTAAATTAGTAATAATTAGTAAATAATAATTAAAATTTTAATTATATTTTATTAATATAAAAAAAACTCTCATCAATTTTGATTTCAACGTAACAAATTTCAATCAATTTCAATTCCACCGTTACGAAACCAATGGAAAATGATGACATGAACTAAACTGAGTTAACGTAATAACTTACTTAGACTTTACACGGGCGTGCCACCCAAGCCCAATCAAATACAACGGCCGTGGACATTTGAACTGACAGATCCCGCAAATAAACACAGCGGTGTGCGAACTAAACACGGCCATGTATGTTCACTATCTTCGATCATAGTCGTCGTAGATATACACGGCCTTGAATATGTTTACATGCCGTGTTAGGCCGTTCTATATCAGTATTTTTAACATGGCTGTGGATCCATTTAACACGGTCGTGTATCTTTCTGTTTCGAACATAAATTTTGTATTATTTTTTTTTAGATATATTGCATTTTTATAGTTAAAGTTAGTAAAAATAATCTAACATAATTTAAATTCAAAAAAATCCATCACATACTTTGAAACAAAAATTCATTAAATATCTAAATAGAAAATTCATTACATACTTAAATAAAATAAGAAAAAAATCATGTAGCTACTCATCCTCATTTTTGCTTGGATGATCCGCAAATAAACCATTAGTGTCAATGGTGACGTCGCCGTGTCCTGATGTAGGTGCATGTGGAGCGCCATCATTTGGTGAAATAGGAATGCAAAAATGTTAAAAAATACGCGAGAATGAAGATCTCATGTCCAACTGCATATCGTCCATCTGATGGTTCACCTCCATCTGCATATCGTCCATACGACGATACATATCCATGTGTAAATCATCAATGACCGACCTGTCAATGGGCATAATATCCTGAACTATGCGATGAGATTGATCACCCTCTGACGCGCCCTAATCAACGGAAAGCTGATTATCCTTATCTATTGGGACGTCAGCCCTATCACCCAATACATATTTATCTACTCATCCCTCGTCACCTTCCTAACTATCCCCATCATCTGCAACGTCCAAAAGCTACAAGGTTGCACGACACATCTGATCATCAATCTCTTCACACTTCAAGGCTCTTTGTCAGTCAGTTATATACAGACCAAGAGAATTTTTTCCCAGACGGCCATCTTCAACCTGATCTATCATAAATCAAGCAAGCATAAAACCCATATTAATAGGCCGACGCTCAAGCATACTCCATAGATAACATAAATCAATATTTGAGACTACGCCGGTGCTCTCGCCACGACCCGAAAGTGAGTAAGTCAAAATATAATGCATATACGTAGTAGCGGGTACCGAAGAGTCGATGCCTTAGAACATGCGGAATTGTAAGCCGCTTATGTACTAATTGTAGAACAATAACTGTGGATTGAATAGGCAAACCTTGGAAGTCATCCGATTCCACAAAGTCCCGATCCTATAAACCCATTAGCACTGAAAAGTCGGCCAGTGAAATTAAAAACATCTTACCCTGTAGCCTAAATGTCAAAGTCTTCGGTTTTTCATAATTATAATTCACCGAGTCATAATTTAGAGTTGACATGAAATCGAAAGTTAGATTTATATAACTTGGCTCTACAATCCCAAAAAGACAAATCCACGCCCCTACCGAAACTAAAGCCTCTCTATCTCCTTCCTCATCTCCAAAATAGACAAAACATTCTAATTGATATGCCTACTCTTTGAAAAAAATGATCTACTCTTAGATCTTTTGTATCGTTCTGCATGTTCTAATTCACTGAAACTTAAAATATCATCATCCGGCTCAACCCGCAGAATAGCTGTTGAAGAACTTGTATCGGTCCAGCCTCTCTTAGCCTTACCCTTTACCCCCAACTATTATTTCTCTACATTAAAAATAAAATTAAAAAAACGGGAATTTATAACATAAATCAACAAAATTCAAATAATATATATTCCATACAAAGCAACAAAAAATTAAATAATATATATTATTCAATTATAAATTATTTGAACAAACTATAACATAATCCAATAATTTTTAAATATTAATATAAAACAAAAAATAAAATAAAATTTATCCAAGTAAACTAAACATAAACAACCATTCAAACTTCAACGCCCAAAATAGACGCTGCCCGCCTCGTCCGCCGATCGATCCGTCGTTGCTGTCACCGGAAAAATAATATACGAAAGATAATATTGGGTCTTTGCATTTTTGACCGGAAAAACTGCGTTAAAAACTTCAACTCGAATCGACCATAGCCGTGTACGACTCCACACGGACGTGTACCTGACAAAATCCAAATAATAATTGTTGCACACACGGCCGTGAACACGAACTACACGACCATGTACCTAAACGGCTACTTTAAACGCCGATGTGAAACTCTACTTTTGCCTCGGAGTACGTATTACAACAAAAATGTATTTTTTTGTAACACGGCTGTGTAACTTTATGTAAATGTGGTTATCAAAGCAAAATCATACATAGTCGCATTTACTTCAAATGCGGTTGATATGTGCTATATATGATAATATTTTACTTATTTTGGGCAACTTTTGGAATACAAAATTTCGTATATATGCTCCTTATGGTGTGTTTTTTATTGCGTAATAGGTTTAATGGAGTTGGCATGTCTTGGGGTGTATTTGGAAGAAAAGGAGCAGAATGCATAAAGGTCTTAGGCGTGATCACACGAGCACAATGTGGGAAATATAAAATTTACAAAAAGGCCCCCCGGGGTAAATTGACAATATAAAAAGTATTTGGGATTTATTTGCAAAGGTGATCTATTTAAAAGGAGATTTGGGATGGAGTTGAAGAGACGCTATTTTTAATTAAAGAAGGGAAGAGAAGAGGACTACCACGTTCTACCACGACATCATTTTTCTTAAAGGGGAAAATAGAGAAAAAAAGGGCACGGAAGAGAGGAGAACTTGGAAGAGGATTGCAAACGAATTTTCGGATCGTTCTTCTTCTATACTCATATTGTTTTTCTTTTTCGATTTCAAAATTAAAGGCATGATGAACTTCTTTATTTGTTTTGTGTTTTCAATTTCTATGAATTTTGAGTAATTTTATTTCTAGCGTAGGTGTGAATTGATGTTTGGGATTGAATTTGTGAGACCTAGTTTTGTTTAATTGGGTGTTCATCGATATTGGGTATTTCTAATTCTTCTAATTTATAAGTTTAGAAATTTTAAGTTGATTATTACGCACGTATAGATTTGAGATTTCGTAGCTAAATTGGAGATTGACACCCGTAATTGTGTAATTTTGCAATTGGTGTAGCAACCAACCTAGAGGAATACTCTAGGGAAGAATTGGAATCAATTTTAAACAAATCCGCGTAGGAATTTTGTTAAATTGAATTGGGCCTTTCTAGTACTTAAAGTTGTCGAGTAAGTAAAACTACGGTCGTATATAGGATTCTCACTCGATTAGGGAAATAGCTAACGGTCGTACCTTAACTATCGAAAAAGTTAGGAAAGGTTGGTTGTGAACGCGTGTAGATCAACCATAACCAATTTATCCAACTAGTCAATGAACTTGATTTTTAGTCGATGAACAAAATTTATATCCCGAACAGAAAATTCATCTTTGGTAATCCGTCTTGCATTTTATTTTATTTTATTTAGTTGAGCAAATTTATTTTCTCCTTAAATTAGTGTGAGAAATCAAAACCCCCCATTATATTCATATATAAATATTTTAGTATATTTATATTAAACCGAGTGTTTAAATTATTACTATTCCCTGTGGAGATGACCCTACTCACCAGCATTAATTCATTTTGTATTTTTTGTGGCATAGGAATTAATATTTTATTTTGCAACTGTGCGACACGCGTGCAATTTTGGCGCCGTTTCCGGGGAACAGTATAAGAACTTTTTATATTCGGTTGTTTCTTTTATTTATTTGCTCTAATTTTCACTTAATGGTTTATGCCTCGAACTGGTCGTATAAGTGAATTAGTTTTTTATTCAGAAATCGAAAGAGACTGCACGCTGTTTGAGGAAAGAAGCTAGAAATTGAGTCGCTGGAACCTAACTTTACTATCCAACTAGCTGACAGTTCTAGTTCCGACAAAAGTTAAGAGGCCAAGGGAGTT